TTTTTAACCAGGATTTGTGGGGTTTTTTAGGAGGATTTTGGGGTGGATTTGGGGTTTTTTGGGTTTGGGGATTTTTTGGGGGTTTTTTTTGGGGGGTTTTTTTTGGGATATTTTAGGGGTTTTTAGGGATTGATGGGGGCACAGCCCTGAGACAGTCGCTGAAGTTGGGGGGAATTTTTTGGGAATTTTTTGGGATTTTTTTGGGATTTTTTTGGATTTTTTAGGGATTTTTAGGGAGATTTGGGATTTTTGGGGATTTTTGGGGTTTTTTTTGGGGATTTTTTTGGTGTTTCTGAAATTTCTGGGGTTCCTGCCCCACGTAGTCAGGCTACAGCACCGAGAGCCTCGTGCAGAGAATCGCTGAGGTTTGCGCTTTTTTGGGGCAAATTTGGGCCTTTTTGGGATTTTGGGGATTTTGGGAATTTTTGGGGATTTTTTTGTGATTTTTTTGGGGTTTTTTTGGGGTTTTTCGGGGGTTTTTTGGTGATTTTTTGGCATTTTTTTCAATTTTTTTTGATTTTTATTTTGATTTTTTGTGGGTTTTTTAAAACAGGATTTGTGGGGTTTTTTAGGAGGATTTTGGGGTGGATTTCGGGTTTTTTGGGTTTGGGGATTTTTTGGGGTTTTTTTTGGGGGGTTTTTTTGGGGATATTTTAGGGGTTTTTAGGGATTGATGGGGGCACAGCCCTGAGACAGTCGCTGAAGTTGGAGGAATTTTTTGGGATTTTTTGGGGAATTTTTTTTTATTTTTTAGGGATTTTTAGGGAGATTTGGGATTTTTGGGGATTTTGGGGGTTTTTTTGGTGATTTTTTGGCGTTTTTTGCCATTTTTCTACATTTTTTTTCAATTTTTCTTGATTTTTATTTTGATTTTTTGGGGTTTTTTTAAAGGGATTTTGGGGTGGATTTTGGGTTTTTGGGCCTTGAGGATTTTCTGGGGATTTTTTGGGGGATTTTTTTAGGGTTTTTTGAGCTTTTTAATGAGATTTGGGATTTTTTTGCGTTTTTTAGGGATTTTTTGGGTATTTTCCTGATTTTTTTAGGAATATTTCTTTTTTTATTCTTTCTTATTCTATTTTTTCCCTTTATTTATATTTTCCCCCTTTTTTACCTTTTCCCAGCACGATATTTGATTTTTTCCTTCTTTTTTCTGGTTTTTTTTTTAATTTTCAACTGATTTTTTTGGTGATTTTTTTGGATTTTTTCCGAACTATTTCTTTTTTATTATTTTTTATTCTATTTTTTCCCTCTATTTACATTTCCCCATTTTTCTTACCTTTTCCTACCACAATATTTGTCTTTTTCCTTCTTTTTTCTATTTTTTTAAATTTTTGACGTATTTTTTTGTGGCTTTTTGGTATTTTTTCCGAACTATTTATTTTTTATTATTTTTTATTCTATTTTTTCCCTTTACTTATATTTTTTACTATATTTTTTTCTTTGCTTATATCTTTCCCCAATTTTTTTTATGTTTTCCTACCACAATATTTGATTTTTTCCTTCTTTTTTCTGTTTTTTTTTAAATTTTCAACTGATTTTTTTGGTGATTTTGGGGATTTTTCCGAACTATTTCTCTTTTATTATTTTTGATTCTATTTTTCCCCTCTATTTACATTTCCCCATTTTTCTTACCTTTTCCTACCACAATATTTGTCTTTTTCCTTCTTTTTTTCTGTTTTTTTTAAATTTTTGACGTATTTTTTAGGGGATTTTTGGGGATTTTTCTCTGACTATTCCTTTTTTATTATTTTTGATTCTATTTTTCCCCTCTATTTACATTTCCCCATTTTTCTTACCTTTTCCTACCACAATATTTGATTTTTTCCTTGTTTTTTCTGTTTTTTTTTTTAATTTTCGACTGATTTTTTTGGGGATTTTTTGGGATTTTTTCCGAACTATTTCTTTTTTATTAATTTTTATTCTCTTTTTTCCCTTTACTTATATTTTTTACTATATTTTTTTCTTTACTTATATCTTTCCCCAATTTTTTTTATGTTTTCCCAGCACGATATTTGATTTTTTCCTTCTTTTTTCTGTTTTTTTTAAATTTTCGACTGATTTTTTTGGGGATTTTTGGGTTTTTTTCCGAACTATTTCTTTTTTATTATTTTTGATTCTATTTTTTCCCTCTATTTACATTTCCCCATTTTTCTTACCTTTTCCTACCACAATACTTGTCTTTTTTCTTCTTTTTTCTGTTTTTTTTTAATTTTTGACGTATTTCTTTGGGGATTTTTGGGATTCCTTCTGGACTGTTTCTTTTTTATTATTTTTTATTCTATTTTTTCCCTTTACTTATATTTTTTACTATATTTTTTTTTGTTTATTTATATCTTTCCCCATTTTTTTTTATGTTTTCCCAGCACGATATTTGACTTTTTCCTTGTTTTTTTCTGTTTTTTTTTTAATTTTCGACTGATTTTTTTGGGGGATTTTTGGTTTTTTTTCCGTTCTATTTATTTTTAATTATTTTTTAATTCTATTTTTCCCTCTATTTACCCTTTTTTTCCCTTTTCCCAGCGCGGGATCCACTTCTCGGTGGTGGCTCCGCGGAAGCTTCCGGCGCTGCGCGCGCTCTTCGAGAAGGGAGCGCCCCCCGGCGGCCTGGAGCCCCCCCAGGGCAAAGAGTGCGGCCAGGACCCCCGGCACATGGTGCTGGTCCGGGGGGTGGCGCTGCCAGGTGCCCCGGGGACATCGGGGACATTTGGGGACATTTGGGAACATTTGGGGAATTTGGGATATTGGGGGGATTGGGGACATTGGGGGGATTGGGGGGATTGGGGACATTTGGGATATTGGGGTCATTTGGGATATTTGGGATATTGGGGGGATTGGGGACATTGGGGACATTTGGGACATTTGGGACATTGGGGGGATTGGGGACAGGACCCCCGGCACATGGTGCTGGTCCGGGGGGTGGCGCTGCCAGGTGCCCCGGGGACATTTGGGACATTTGGGGACATTTGGGACATTTGGGATATTGGGGGCATTTGGGGACATTTTGGGATATTGGGGGGATTGGGGACATTTTGGGATATTGGGGGGATTGGGGACATCGGGNGGGGACATTGGGGACATTTGGGATATTTGGGATATTGGGGGGATTGGGGGGATTGGGGACATTTGGGACATTTGGGATATTTGGGATATTGGGGGGATTGGGGCCAGGACCCCCGGCACATGGTGCTGGTCCGGGGGGTGGCACTGCCAGGTGCCCCGGGGACATTTGGGGACATCGGGGACATTTGGGATATTGGGGACATTGGGGACAATGGGGACGTTGGGGACATTGGGGACATTTGGGATATTTGGGACATTGGGGACATTTGGGGACAATGGGGACGTTGGGGACATTGGGGACATTGGGGACATTGGGGACATTTGGGATATTTGGGATATTTGGGACATTGGGGACATCGGGGTCAGGACCCCCGGCACATGGTGCTGGTCCGGGGGGTGGCGCTGCCAGGTGCCCCGGGGACATCGGGGGGATTTTGGGATATTTGGGGACATTTAGGGAATTTGGGATATTGGGGACATTGGGGACATTGGGGACATTTGGAGACATCGGGGGAATTTGGGACATTGGGGACATTTGGGGACATTTGGGGACATTTTGGGGAATTTGGGACATTGGGGGGATTGGGGACATCGGGGACATTTGGGGACATTGGGGGGATTGGGGACATTTGGGACATTGGGGACATTTGGGACATTTGGGATATTGGGGACATTGGGAACAATGAGGACACTTGGGGGAATTTTGGATATTGGGGACATTGGGGACATTTGGGGGGATTTGGGATATTTGGGACATTGGGGACATTGGGGACATTTGGGGACGTTGGGGGGATTGGGGACATTTGGGGGAATTTTGGATATTGGAGACATTGGGGACATTTGGGACATTGGGGACATCGGGGGGATTTGGGATATTGGGGACATTTGGGGACATTTGGGGACAATTTTGGGGACACTCGATGACATTTGGGGACACTCAGAGACAATTTGGGGTCAATTCAGGGGCACCATTTCGGGGACACTTGGGGACATTTGGTGACAATTGCTGACAATCTGGTGACATTTGGTGACATTTGCTGACAGTTTGCTGACAATTTTGGTGACATTTGGTGACATTTGGCGACATTTGGTGACAATTGGTGACATTTGGTGACATTTGGTGACATTTGATGATACTTGGTGACACTTGGTGACAATTTGGTGATACTTGGTGACAATTGGTGACAATCTGTTGACATTTGATCACACTTGGTGACAAGCTGTTGACATTTGGTGACATTTGGTGACAATTGGTGACATTTGGTGCCATTTGGTGCCATTTGGTGACAATCTGTTGACATTTGGTGACAGTTTGCTGACAATTTGGTGACATTTGATGACACTTGGTGACATTTGGTGACATTTGATGACAATCTGTTGACATTTGGTGACACTTGGTGACATTTGGTGACATTTGATGACACTTGGTGACATTTGGCGACATTTGATGACAATCTGTTGACATTTGATGACACTTGGTGACATTTGGTGACATTTGGTGACATTTGGTGACATTTGGTGACAATCTGTTGACATTTGGTGCCATTTGGTGCCATTTGGTGACATTTGGTGACATTTGATGACACCTGGTGACACCTGGTGACAATTGGTGACATTTGGTGAGATTTGGTGACATTTGGTGACATTTGATGACACTTGGTGACACTTGGTGACATTTGGTGAGATTTGGTGACATTTGGTGACATTTGATGACACTTGGTGACAATCTGTTGACATTTGATGACACTTGGTGACATTTGGTGACAATCTGTTGACATTTGATGACACTTGGTGACATTTGGTGACATTTGGTGACATTTGGCGACATTTGATGACAATCTGTTGACATTTGATGACACTTGGTGACAATTGGTGACATTTGGTGACATTTGGCGACATTTGATGACAATCTGTTGACATTTGATGACACTTGGTGACAATTGGTGACATTTGTTGACACTTGGTGACAATTGGTGACATTTGGTGACAATCTGTTGACATTTGGTGACATTTGGTGGCACTTGGTGACAATCTGTTGACATTTGGTGACATTTGTTGACACTTGGTGACAATTTGGTGACACTTGGTGCCATTTGGTGACACTTGGTGCCATCTGGTGACAATCTGTTGACATTTGGTGACACCTGGTGACACCTGGTGACAATTTGGTGACATTTGGTGCCATTTGGTGACATTTGGTGACACTTGGTGACACTTGGTGCCACCCCCCCAGGCAGCAGCGGCGCCCCTCCCCCGCTGCCGCCCCCCAAGGCGGGCGCCGCCCCTCCCCCGCTGCCCCCCAGCGCCCCCCCCCTGCCGGCGCCCGCCCCGCCCGCGGCCCCCGGATACCA